TCCTTCTGAGTCTTCATCTGTAAAATGAGGTAATATCTGTAGCACTTAGCTCAGAAGACTATTATGAGGATCAAATTAGAAAATTTTTGTATAGTCCTTTGTAAACTTTAAAGAACTATATAAATGATGGTTATGACCCAGTAAACCATGAGCTACTTGGTAGCAAGGACTTTCATTTTTGCCTTTGTGTCTCTAGCACAGTGCTCAGCATGTATAAATACTTAATAAATGCATGTTGAATTGAACTGAGATGAGATGGGGAGAGAGACCCTGCTGCTAGGACCAGAGCTGCTAGGACCAGAGCTGCTGGGGGGAATGGAGAGAGAAACACCAGCAAGGAGAGGAGAGCATAACAAGATAAGAAGTTATTAGAATTTGCCTTCCTCTCCTCTTTTTCCATTTCATAATACTTATACCATTTATAGATCCCACACTGGACTAAGGTGAAGTGGGAAACAAGACTGGATGAGGTGTTCTGGGTATCAGTGGAATCAATAAAGGGAGAGAATGAATTAAGAGAGCACAACCCTAAACGTTGCCACTGAGAAGGAAGGGGAATTTCTGTGATCACTTAGATATGTTATGTTTAGAGATAGAGATGTTTAGAGGACATGTTTAACAGTTTTGGCCTGAAACATCTAAGGACATCCAGGTAAAAAGTAAGAATGAAGTTCATTAGAGACATTAGTGTTGAATATATAAATGTTGGGAATCATCAGATAGAGTTGATTATTGAAAATACAGGAAGAGATGAGCTCATCAATCGGCAGACATTTAAGAGCCTGTCTACATATGCCAAACTGGGCTAAGCATTAGGCAACGAAAGCCAAAGGTGAAAGTCTTTGCTGTCAAGGAGCTTTTGTTATATTAGAGAGACAACACGTGCATAAGTGAGAAAATACAAGGTTAATTGAAGGGAGCTAACACATGGGGTGATCAGGAATAGTTTCACGTAGAAAGTAAGGCACTTGAACAGAGTCCTGAAAGAAATGAATTTCAAGAGGCAGAGGCAGAAGAGAGAAGGGTGTGAAGGCCAGAGATGAGTGTTACATGAGGAGCAATAAGTATGTCAATGTGGCTGGATTATAGAGTACAGAAAATAGAATAATATATAATAAAGTTGTAAAGGTAAGTTGAAGCCAGTTTGTGAAGTACCTTAAAACTGTAAAAGAGGAGTTTATCCTAGAAACATTTAGGGGCCATTGGAGTTTATTGAGGAGAATCAGATGTTCAGACCTGCACTTCAGCAAATTCACTTTGGCATCTGTGTGGAGGATGGATTTGAGATGGGAGAGATTTGAGATGAGGACACCAAATAGGGTGAGAGGTGATAAGGGCCGAAACTACCAGAGGACAGAAACTGAAAGTGTGAGTAGTGGGAAGAGGTTAAGAGAGATAGACTGTGGGGTATAAACAACAGGATTTGGCAACTCATTGGCTGTGTTGGATGAGGTAAAATGAGTAGTTGACAATAGAATGCCAAGATTGCAAACCTGGGTGACTTGAAGGATGGTGTTGCTTGATAGGGTAGTTTAGAATAGAAATGGGTTTAAGGAGAAAGATAATGAGTTCTGTTTTGAAGATGGTGAGTTGAAAATGCCTGTAGGGCAACCATTTTGATGGCAGTTGTAGATGTGTGACTATAACTTGAGAGAAAGTAGGATTGGATAAATATACTGTAGATTTGAGGGAAGTCATCTCCATAGAGATGATAATTAAACCAAGGAGAGTTGATTGCTGCACCAAATGAAAGCATAAAGAAATGATATGGGTGATGAACCAAACAAGGAAACTGAGAAAGCTGTGAAAATGCTAGTAATAAAGCAAGGAAAGAATTATTTTCTTCTCTCTCCATTATTCATCCCTTCTCTCTATTCTCTCTATTCAGTCCTTCCTTTCCCTTGTAGGAGAGTGTAGTCACTCTTCAGTGTCAGAGTCAAATGCTGTGGAGAGGTCAGACAGGCTGAGGACTGAAGATAGATGGGCTATCAGACTTGACAGTTAAATCATCAGTAAGGTATAGGGAGCAGTAGCAATTGAGTGATGAAGTCAGTAGGAGACAAAGAAGTAGAACCACTGAGTACAGATTCTTTTCCCCAGGAGTTTAGCAGAGCAGGAAAGGAGAGATATGGGATAATACCTTGAGGGGATGGTAGGATCTACTGAAGGTTTTTTAAGGATGGGGGAGACTAGAGTATGTTTGTAAGCAAGCAGGGAAGAAGCCTGATAGGGAAAAAAAAACTGAAGTTTGGGAGGCAGGGAGAATAGATGCATGCAGAGAAATTAGCCCTGGTGAGAAAGGTCAGCTCTTTACCAGAGACAAAAGTAAAGAAGAGGATAATGGGAGATTTTGACAAGAGGTTTTCATGAAGAGAAGAGGGATTCCACAGAGAATGGTCTCCCTTTTCTCAGTAATGGATGAGACTAAATCTTCACCTCAGAAGATTGGAGAACTGAAGGCTTGAGGAGAGGAGAGGAGAAAAGGTTTGGAATGACCTCCAGGGAATAGGATAAACTCAATTAAGGAGGAGTTAAAGATTGTCCTTTGTTAGTGAGGTCCCAGTTGAGATTAGATAACAGATTTGTAGTGATCTCATTCCTCTTGGTTTCATGATCTCTTCTACCTCTATTCAGTAATGCATGAGTAGGAGTGAAGGTGGAAAGTGCGAGTAATCCATGGTTGGGGTTTGGCAGGATTCTTAGTGAGCAAGCATTTATTAAGTGCTTTAAGTACAAGGCACTGTGCTAAGCAGTAGGGGTACAAAGAAAGGCAGAAAGGTCTAATGGGGGAAACTACATGTTAACAAGATATTTACGTGTAAATTTAAGGTGATCTGAGGGGGAAAAGCTTAAGCAAAAAGGAGGGTGGGAGATGGGATGACTGCTCACCACAGCAGGAAGACCACTTGCAGTATGCCTCAATAGAACAATGGGGCACCGAGATTCAAGAGTAGAAGACATTGTAGAATTGAACTAGTTAATTATAAGGTCAAGATTGAGAAAGGAGACAGATGAGCTTAGAGCAAGGTTCATGGCCTAGGAGAGTACTGAGGGATGGAGGGATTAGTGATCTCAGTGAGGGAGAAGAACAAGTTTAGAGAGACGAAAAGCATAGGGAGAAGGGAATCATAGAAGATTGGTATCTCATGAAGTGATTTGAGTTTTTGATCTTATGTTAATCATCGCTGTGTGGGGCTGAGATAAAGTATAGAAAATAAGTTGTAGGAGTTTGAGTGGAGAATGAGATTGAGAGGTTAGTTAGGGTCTTTGAGGAGATATCAGATTATATGGAATTGGGCTGTAAAGGGAAACTATGAGCCAAATACCTAACTCCTTGAGAAGGAAAGAATGATTGAGGTACCAGTAGCTCCCTGTTACTAAAATCTGGATTTTGTGATAGATTTCAATGGAGTGAGCCTCAAAAGAGAATTGAGTAGTGGTTACAAAGAAAGTATGGCAGTGATAATTAGAGGATCAAAGAGTAGACTCACCTTCCAGGCCCTAGGACAGAAAGCTAGAGAGAGTGACTAAGGATGTGGTGTTATTTTGAGGGGAGCTGGCTATGCCTGGCAGGTAAAGGTGAGAAGAGCCCAAGAGAAAGAGGCCTAAAATGAAGAGAAGTGTGTAACTGGTATAGAAGTTCTAGAAGGCACAATGGGCAGAGAGCTCCACTGGGACATGAGAGAGGTGGATCAAAGTATCTGGAGTGAGTATGAGAAGGGGTGGCTTACTCTTATAGATCTTGCAATTCAGCATCCCAAGTATTGGAAGAAAAAGATGTGGTGGAACTTTGTTCACCAAGACAGAGAATATAGAGAGAAAAGAGGTCCCAGAGTTGAGTCTTGAAGGATATTCATGCCAAGAGGTGGGAGATGAATAATGATCCCTGGAAGGAGTAGGAGAAAGAATGATCAGATAGCTACAAAGAAAGGTAGAAGAAGATTTATTTGATATTTCAGTTTTATATATGATAAGATTCTTTTGAAAAGTAATAGTTCCTCAAGAGAAAGTTAATATTCTTCTGGGTGAGGTGGGGTATGAGTATATCTAGGCTATTCAGAAAAGGAAAGTTTCTTAAAGCTATCTAAGGAAATTTTTATAATCTATATATTTTTTCATTTACTTAAAAGACATAAAGTACTTCGTTTCCAGCCTAGATAATTCTTATAGAGGAAAAGTTCAGCAAAATTTAAGAATAATGCAGTTAATTTTTAAACAACAACATTCTAAGACATTATACAGGGATATTGGCTTCATTGCCCTGATTTTAACTCATTCAGAAATAGTTTTGAAATGAGCAGATAAGAGGGTACTGTAGGTGTATTAAGAATAGGGTGATAGGAGAGGAATTCATAAAAGTGAATTTTCATTTCTTCTTGGACATTCACCTAGTACATGCTCATTCATGTAATATTAAAATTTTTTTATTATATATTAGACATTTCCACATATAGAGGTGGCAGTATTGTTGATCATTTAAATGGCTTTCCACATTTTCATTGCTATTGAATAGTGAAGTGATATTTAGTTTTTATAGTCAGAGTTAAAACGAATGAAATTTGCTATGGGATGTGTATTCGGCTTGAAGGTAATTATCATCCCTGTGTCTTCTGATTTTCAGAGGTGCCCTTTGGTTATTCAGAATTGTACTGCAGAGGCATGAGTTTAAAGATGTATAGATATCTAGTTTGGTACATAATTAACTATACTCCTTGCCCAGAATTGTGTCTCCAAAGAAATAGATTATCAGTTCCCTGATTAAATATGTTGACTTAAATGATTTCATTGAGTACTTACATATGGTCCTCTTTTTGAAATGTTATATTTTGAAGTTGTACCTAAATTTACTTTGCCATATTATAGAAGTTTAAGAAATTAAAGAGCTGAAAAAACCTTAAAAATTGTAATTTAGTTGAACTGTGGTCTCTTTTTAGCTGTTCAGTTTTTGTCAAGAGGTTTGATTCTTGGATGCTTAACTTTTCTCTGCTTTATTTTTCTAGACAGTACAGTTTGTCCAAGGAATCTTTGTTGAAAAATATGACCCTACAATAGAAGACTCCTACAGAAAGGTAAGCTATGGAACTTGTCTCAACATTTGCATTAGTGTTTCCTTATAATTTGAAATCTTGGTACACAAAATTGCTGCTTAAAAACAAGTTATTTTTAAAGTAGATACAAATTCTCTGCATGAGTCATAAGTATATTTTAAAATACTTTTTTCTTAAATTCATAGATCTGTGCCCTCTTACAATTTCTAAGCAATCCATTGCTATTTTAAAGATCTTATAACTAAATATTAAGTAGAAAGATAAACCTTAAAACTATGGTACTATTCCCCTTTTTCTGGAAGAAATTTTTATGTGGAAGAAAAAGCACTTCAACATTTTTACAGTAGATCTGCTTTTGAATTTTACCTATTTCTTCATGGTTTAAAATTTCCATAATGATCATGCTTGAAATCATTAAGTGGTTATAAAACTGCCTTTTATTTATGTTGTTGCTTGACTATAAAAGTATTACCTTGTCCCCTTTAAAACAGAAAGAGCTATGAGTTTGGTCTTGGCAAATGGCTGTACTGTATAGCTGTAAAGTCTTGTGGCAATCTTTACCAGTTTTCTTCCCGTTTTCGTGTTAATATAAGGGAGGGAAAAGAGAATGTGTTAAAAGATTATTGGAGAGAGGGGTGCTCAAATCAGAGACCATTTTTCTACACATGGGAAAGAGAAGTTCTTTAGGAAGGTATCATGATGTGGTTATAGAGTGCCATAATTTTTCCTGAATGAAATCTTCAATGAGTGGATTTGACAATATATAGATATCTCTCATTAAAAATAAAATATATGTGAAATTTTGCACTAACTAAATTAAGAAAATTATGGAATAATTTCACACTGTCATAAATTAATTCCATATTACTTGAACCTTTCTCAGTCACTTTGGTGCTCTTTCCTGTCACCAGCACCACAAGAAGCAAGTTCTAAAATGCAGATTTGGGTTCCTGTAACTGCTAGTGTTAAAATTTCATCCATTGCTGATGTGCTGTGATTCAAAACCAACTATAAAAATAGTAGCAAGGAGGTGCTTTTGAAGGTTTGGGGGGGGGGTGTATGTGTGTGTGTGTAAGCTTTTTTTTAAAAGTAAGCTATTGAATGCCTGCAATTCCCCAAAAACATCATTACTATGGTGTCTACAGTATCACAGTATCTGCTCCCATGTTTAGCCTCATCTTAGGATCAAAAGAGCACAAATTAGAGCTAGGAAAAGACTTTTTATATCTTCCAACCCAGCCCATTGTTTTACAGAGAAGAGAACTGAGACCAGAAAGGTTAAGTGAATTTGCCCAAAATCCCATAGGTAGTAAATAGCAAAACTGGGTCCTGAACCCAGCTTCTGTGACTCCAGATCCAGTGATCTTTCCATTGCACATTTGGGTAAAGTATAAATCATTAGAGTAATAGGATGGGTATGCATAATGTCAGCACACAGTTTTCAGTGAAACCTATCAAATAGAAATGAACAGGAGGTTCATATTAAGGGGCTCTTAAGCCATTATAATTAAACAAGATACTCTGTAAAGGTGGGAGGGAAATGAAGTGAAAACTTGGATGTTGCAGCTTAATTCTCATCCCGTCCTTTTTTTTTCTTTCTAGCAAGTTGAAGTTGATTGCCAACAGTGTATGCTTGAAATCCTCGATACAGCAGGGACAGTAAGGACGTTTTATCTTTCTATGAAACTTTGAATTAATAACTTGGACATTGAATAAAAGTTGTGATTAGATTAATCCCACCTTGAAAAAAATCATTATTATGATTAAAAATGAATCTTCCTAAATTTAGGACTGATTAAATTTTCTTAAGCATATTAAGTCTTCTGGGGTGTATTTAATTCCTATATAACACCATATTATTTTATGTTGTGCTCATATCTGTGTATTGTTTCCTTTCCCTTTAATTGAGGTGTTTAAGTATGAGAGGATTATGCCAAGAGCTTCTCTTTAGATAGAAAACATTTACTGTGAGTTTAAAGAGAGACCTAACTTGGAGCCACAATCATTCATCTTTATTAAGAGATAATAATTTTGATTTTTTTTTAATATCAGCAACTTCATTTCTGAAGAAAGTTCTAATGAACTATTTACAAGTAAAGCAAAACACATTTTAGGATTTGAGTGAAATATTATTTTATTTCAGCATTAACCAGAGAGTTTTTGTTGTATTGCCTGCAGCAGCAAACCACCCATACAGTAGTAGTTCATTTTTCATATACACATACTTTCCCAACTTATTAATAGTTTGTGTTGCTGTGCTTTGTGAATTAATTGCTTAGAATTCAGAATGCATTTTTCCATAGAAATAATGTTATAGGTAGTGATGAAATTTCTATTGGTGGTGTGATTAAATAAATAATGCCTTGCAGCTAGATAGGTGGGAAGATTCAGTCATAGTAGTGTAAGTGTTTATTAACATTTGTAATTAAATAAACTGATCATTTCCATTAAATTATTTAATATTAACCAGCTGATAAATTGGGAGCTGACTGACTTTAACATCACAGTATTTTATAAAATATAATTTTAAAAAAATCTATACCTAGAAAATCTGAAGATAGAAAATTTGTACTTCTTACCTGTACCTTCCAGAAATGCATTATGGCGGCAGCCAAAGAAGCAGAGAACACCGTAGAATACTGAAGATTGAGAATGAGCAGGGATGGATGCCTGACATAGGAGAGCAGAGGCTTGATCAGGGGGAGGTGGGGGAATAGTAGGAAAAGAAGGAATAAGCAGAGCCAGCTGGAATCAAGTACATAGGAACCAAGGTAGGATGATGGCCCAGGAAAGCTTGAAAGTGAAAGAGCTATGTAAATTGAAGGGGCAGAGTGGCTGAGAAACAGGTCATGCTTAGACCAAGATATATGGTCCATACATACAAAGCAATATATCCACACTACTTGTTCCCAGGCCATGTAGATTTTCAAATTTTCTGCAGTATGTAACTGTTTATCTTTTGTATGGATCTCATTCTATTTTAAAAATAATAATTTTCTAACTCATTTTACATATCCCTAGTTGTAATTTATATAATTATTCCATCACCTTCTTTTCCTGAACAAAATTAAATAGGTGTTAAGTAAAACAGAAGATATTTTAGTTGAATATAAGAGCCTCTTGACTGTTGAGGTGCTAAACACTGGTATGTACCGCCAAAGGAGGTTGTCAGTTCTCCATGGAGATTTACAGAAAAGAATATATAGCCTTCTGTCTTGAATGGTTTAGACTGATCATAGGATTATAGCTCAGGAGTTGGAAGAGTTCTCAGAAGGTGACCCAGTCCAGGAGATACTATGGCTTTTGAAAACATATTTTTAGTTCACTTTTTTAAAATGTAGATCATGGTCTGAGTTTATATAGCATGGGATAGAAGGTATAAATGGGGAGATGCACTGTTCTTTAAAAAAAAATCATCACTGGTTGACACTTCCTGTCTAAGAGCAGGGAGACTGAAGTGGATTACCTTACATAACTCTTCTACCTCTAGAGTTGTATGATTTTTTTCCATGGATGAGAAACAGAAGCAATTCTTTCATATGGGTAAAGATTTGTTTATAAAATCCATATCTTACGCCTTATTTTCTTCGCCATGAAATAACTGAATGATTCTTAAAATCTTTTAATATAAAAAAAATTCTAGTTAATTAACATCAAATTTTATAATTGTCTTCACGTTTGTTTTTTTATTATAGGAGCAATTTACAGCAATGAGAGATCTGTATATGAAGAATGGCCAAGGGTTTGCACTAGTATATTCTATTACAGCTCAGTCCACGTTTAATGACTTACAGGACTTGAGGGAACAGATTTTACGAGTTAAAGATACAGAAGATGTAAGTAATATTTTTTTATCCCCTCTGAGCACTAAAATCCTTCAGTGGTCAGATAAGCAAGTCTCCGTTTATCAGTCAATTGCACAGAGTGTGAGGTGGTCGTTAGAGTATAAAGTCTAAGACGCACTCCCTCACGGCAGTGAAGGGTGAGCTCATGTCTAAGGTGCATAATTGTACTGGGCAGATAACTGCACTAGTGCAATTGTTAGGTCCTTCAAAGGGCACAGAAAAGAGTTGAAGAAAAGAGATATCACTATAGGTAAGAGTTGGCAGGTAGGTGGTACAGTGGCTAGAGCACTGGCCCTGGAGTCAGGAGGACCTGAGTTCAAATCCCATCTCAAGACACTTGACACTTACTAGCTGTGTGACCCTGGGCAAGTCACTTAGCCCTAATTGCCTCACCAAAAAAAAAGCAAAAAAAAAAAAAGAAATGAAATGAAACTATAGGCAAGAGTTGTTGAGGAAGGTTTCATGAAGAGGGTCAGTGTTTAAATCCCAAAACTAGATGCATAATCAATGCCTATTAAAATAATGCTAATGGAATAATTTTTATATTTTCTTTCTTCCTCAGTTATGTGAGGGTTTTAATTAACTAGGTCAAAATTTTAAACATGCTTTCTTTTCTCTTGTATAGTCAGAATGATAACTATTTTAGGTATTTTGTCTGGTAATTAAATTTTTAGGTAGATGGTAGCTAGATAGTTAAGCACATTATTATATAAATTGGTTAGATCTTAGCAGAAGTGAAATTTATGTCAGATTAATTCTTTTGAGCTCAAAGAATTTCTCTTTGGTATAGATTAGAAAATAAAAATCGGTTTGTACCTTTTCCTTTTATATTCCATGGGTTAATGTTCTGTGTAATTATTAATAGGATCCCCATGTGTCTACTCAGATCTTTAACCTTGGATAATGTTGCATGAGGAAAAAATTTATATGACTCATAACCAACCATGACCTAATGAATAAGTTATCTTCTTTCTCATGGCTAATTCACATAAGATGTTTAAAGCCTCTGTTTTTATACTGATATAAGGTGGTAGTATAAAGATGTCCTTATTAGCATTGCTAACATTAAAGGCCAGAAACATTGTTCCTCTGTTCTACAATGAAGGAGTAAAAATCTTGTCTTCTTTAATGAGAGTTGAATTGTGGGTTCCTGAAATGTGTTTATTTTTTGATGAAAACTTTGCCCTAGAATTTTGTCAAGTGAGCTTCCATCATCTCATTCCATTCTTGTATCTTATGCTAACAATAGCGGTAATAATAATTATCACCATCATCATTACTATTATAGCACTTACTGTATACCAGGCACAGTGCTATGAGCTTTATAATTTATCATCTCATTTGAGCCTCAGAACAACCTTGTGAGGTAGGTGCTATTATTGTCCCCATTTTACAGCTAAGGAAACGTAGGCAAACAGCAGTTAAATGACTTGCCAGAGTTCACACACCTATTAAGTGTCTGAGACACTCATGTCATCTTGACTGTAGGCCCAGCACTCTGTCTTTTGCACCACCTAATTACCCCAAGACTGTGTGGTACAGGAATAAATTAGGGAGAAAGGGGGGAAGGAAATAAGCATCTATTAAGTGCCCGCGATGTGCCAGGCACTGTGCTAAGCACTTTACAAACATCATCTCACTTGATCCTCACAGTGACTCTGTGGAGTACTATACCAGGTCAAAAGTTCTGAGTCATTTAAAGTGTAGAGAACAAGAGAGTCAAGCTGCACATAAGCAGATTTTTTTTAAACTTTTATTTTTATTGTCTCTCTGATCTTCCACACTGGCCTTTAAATTTGGACTGCTAGACAAATTTTAGAAAAACAGCATGCATGATTCACTTGGTCTGCATTGGTACTGTTGGTACTGTATTGAACAAATAATGGACCTGTAATACCATGTCATATATAATGGGGATTCTTAACCTGGGGTCCATGAAACTGAATGGGGAAAAAAGTTACATCTTTGTTTTCGCTGCCCTTTAACAGAAATTTAGCATTTCCTTCAATTATAAATTTTAAAAAAGAACATTCTGAGAAGAGCAGAGGTCCACAAGCTCCCCCAGACTGCCAACAGAAGCCAGGACACAGAAAAGGTTAAGAACTCCTGTCCTATGTTTCATAGAGTTAGAATTAGAAGGTACCCCAGATGTAATCTTGTTTAATGCCATTTTACAGATTAGAAAACTGAGGCCCAGAATGATTAAGTGAATTCAAGATGACACCAGTAGTAAGAAAACTAGAAATGGATTCCAGGTCCTCTGACTCCAAATTAAGCATTTCCTGCAGCTTCATACTTGAGCTGGGGACATTTACGTGGCTAAAAAAGACTTAGGGGAGGACAGACATGATTGCTGTCATGGGGAAATGGGGTCGGACTTGGTCTGCTTGTTCCCAGAGAGCAGAACTCGGAACAGTGGGTGGGACATTGTCCCTAATCCCGAGTCAGGCTTATTTCTGGTTGTAGTTATTAAATTTATTTCTTCTCTGTTTATACACTCAAACCCCTTGGGGTTAAACTGTCTTTATTAATAGTGTTTTCCCCTCCTCGTCAGCAGTAGTTGGTCGTTTGCTAAAGCAACTTGAGAAAGTGTCTTTCTTCTAGCTTTCTTGCATTTGCAGCTGGTCATCTTGCAGTTTATCTAGTGTAGTGCAGGATGTGAACGTGCCACACAAGAGGTGATGTGTAAGGGCAGGAGTAGTCTAGACATTTCCTACTCACTTAAATTTTTTTGCCTCTTACCTGTCTGTTCTCTCTAGGAGAAAAATATATCCCTAGAATTTTTCTAGTATCAATATAAGATTTAAATAACTGCTTTTAAGAGCGTCACTCTTAGGTATATATTTTAGTAGCATTTTAAACCATCTTCGATCTTCATTTAGAGATGATTGTGGTTCATTTAACTTGAGTGCTGGATTTTTTTTTTATTAACATTTACACCAGAATGCTAAGCTGTTCCAAGAATTACACTATGTGGAATGTTGAACTGCATACATTCACTGTCTTAAAGTATAAATGAAATTGTGCTCTTTCTAGTTTGGTAGATTGATGTTTTTCACACTATATACTGGTAGTTTTGTTTTGCTGTGGATCCCCTTAAGTTGTTAATATGTAATTTGTTTATATGGTCATGATCTAATGTGCTAGATTAGAGCTAATTACTAGAGTAATAAACAGTGTGCTGAAACTTGCTCTTTTGTATTTGAATGTATGTAATCTCAAAAAACTTGTTTTTGAGCTATAGCTAGTTAGATTTTTGAATTTAAAACAGTGTAGAGGTTGAGTGGTGGGATTTGGATCTCAAGAAACTAAATTCTAAAAAGCTTCCATACTCTGTGACTTTCTGCTTAGAGTTTAATTATCAATGATTCATATATTTCTGCACATGAGAGATGGGCAGGTAGGTGGCACAGTGGATAGAGTGCCAGGCCTGGAGTCAGGAGGACCTGAGTTCAAATACAGGCTCAGACAGGGACCCTGAGCAATTCACTTAACCCTGTTTGCGTCAGTTCTTCATCTGTAAAATGAACTGGAGAAGGAAATGGCAAACCTCTCCAGTGTCTTTGCCAAGAAAACCCCAAATGAGGTCACAAATAGTCGGACACAACTAAAACAACCCTAGCAACGACACATAAGAGAATTTTAGTATTACCTTGTGTAGAACTAGTAGGTGTATATATCTCTTCCACTTTTCTTTTTGACTTGTATTAAAAGGTAAGCACAGAGGCTTAATCGAATTTTACCTAGATTTCTGCTATTAGGATAAATATCCCATATATGTTGATACTCATTTCAGTGGGTTTTTTTTCCTTCAGGTTCCAATGATTTTGGTTGGCAATAAATGTGACCTGGAAGATGAGCGAGTAGTTGGCAAAGAACAGGGTCAGAATTTAGCAAGACAGTGGTGTAACTGTGCCTTTTTAGAATCTTCTGCAAAGTCAAAGATCAACGTTAACGAGGTAACCTCTAAACTGCTAATATATGCAAACGCTTGTCTCTCTTTTTGCTTTGCTGTAACTGCCAAAATATGACAATTGCTTTTTAAAATATCGTTTCTTTTTCTAAGTAATCTGAATTTGAACAGTTTTTTTAAATATCTAGATAAATTTCTAGAAAATATAAAGTTATCTAAAACTTATTTAACATCAACACATAAATTTATGGTTCAATTTATGTTGAAAAGAACATAGCTTTCATTTACCTTTGTTCTAAATGTCCTCTAAACAGCCTATCACCAAATGCTCTGCCAAAACTATTACATAAAGATTTATATTGAAATAAATTCCTTTTTAAATATCATCTATAAATTCTTTGATTATGAAGTCAGGAAGAGAATTAAAAGAAAGCAGTCTTTTAAGCCAGATCATTACAGTTTGTCCATTCATGCTACCTTCTGGGAAACCACAAAGTCTTACTTGGTGTGTTCCTGAGCAGTGACACCATAATTCCAGGGAAGGGGGTGTGTGTGTGTGTGTGTGTGTGTGTGTGTGTGTGTACACAAGTATACACTTGATCATCTTGTAGGCATCATTCACTCAAATCATTCTAACTCTAGACTCTAGCAGGTGCATAAGCTCTTTTCTAGTCCCTGACCTCTGGACTGCTCTACGTTAAGAACGTAGCTCTCGTTAGGAATGCTGACCAAGTTACCATAGTTGAGTGTTTCTAGAACAGGTACGTTAGACACACCTTGATGCTTTAGGAGAGGAATTACTAGGGCCCAGGAAAAATGAATCTCTATGATGCCGTAAATGTAAATCCTGGGCCACCAAAGGAAGAACCTGAGAGAGACCCTCCTAGTCTTTGTTGATTTCAGAGTAAACAGACCTATACCAGAGAAGGCCTCTTTGCCAGCCACACAGGGCTTGGTTTGAGTGATGCTCATTTGTGCCTTAGTCCTGCTGAATGGGCCCAAAGTGATATCTGAGATGTCTTGGTCTGTTTATGACATTGCCATTTAAAGGAGTAGCTTGCTTATGTGGTTAGGCTCCAGTGTTAAGATTACAGTTTCTTTCTGGCCTTAGATACTGCTTTTGATTTGCCTTTACTCTCCAGGATTTCCTTAATTTATAACTACTACTCTAACTTCTCCTGCCAGAATTTCCTGGACCTCTTCAAGCACTTGGCAAAAGGAGTTAGCTTTCTCCCAGTTGTCTATTCCCTCCCTCCTCAGTCATGAATACCAAAACTTACCTTTTGTAGAAAACTAGCATTAACAAATGATAAAAATAAAACAGGAAATTAGTGGATCCCATACCCTCCTTCACCTGTACCTATTGTGCTATTCACTGCTAAGTATTTACTATTTGACTCAGAATTTCCCTGTTGTGAAATAATAATTTGGGTTTGGGGGTCTTGAGGGTTTTAATAATCTTCAGAAAAAAATATACTCATGGTTATACCACCACCTGACACTGAACCTCTCTAGTTCAGAGTTCCTTCATCTCTAAGTGGTGGAAATGGACTGCAAGAAGTCTCTTCCATTTTGGACTCACATTTCTGTAATATAATAACAGTTGAAAAGTTCTTGAGGACAAATAGCCAGTATGTTGATACTCATTTTTATTTTTTCTTCCCTTAGGTTCCAGCGATTTTAGTTGTCAGTAAATGTGACCTGGAACAAACTGTATTAAACACACTAAGAGATGTTTTAACTTGATTGAAAACACAAATTTCATGCTAGTGGTTTTTCACAATTTATGATTCTTTTCTCTCATGACAACTTAAGAATCCTATGTAGGAGTACTTTCTTTGAGTATTTTATTTTGATGCTAAAGCTTTCTGCTCAGATTCAATACATAGCAAATTTCTGTGGCTTTGCAGTTTCCTAAAAACTGGAAAAGGACAGTGCAGATACTCATATCAGCTTCATATGTTATCTGCACAGATATATTGGCAGCAGATTGAAGTTACCTTGAGAACACCTTTAAACTGTTTTTCAGTCTGCGTCGCTAATGCTGAGTATCAGTTTACACAAACAGGACCAGTCTTACTTTTATGGAGAGCTGACTGCTTCATCCCAAGGCTGACATGATAAATAGAATCCAGATATCCCCATTTAGGAATAGAGGAAAAAATGCAAAACTTCAATTCTGTCTTTCTTTTATCCTTTCAATTAGCAATAAGAAGGAACTTCAAATCATTCCAAGTAATTTCATTCTTCGAAAAGCACTCATTTTAAACTTGACCTTTCAACTCCTCCCCACCAGTTACGCTTCATGGATTTTTCTGAACCATCTGTTGCATTGAGGTAGAAAGGATTTTTTTCAAATAAAAAGCTTGAAATGATACTTCAGAACTTGTTTCTTGTTCTCTGGATATGAGCTACCCACTTCACAGAGTTGTTGTAAGATTTTAAGTAACTGTAACCTCTCCAGTCCATTCTCCACCTAGATGACAAAATAGTCTTTCTCACCCTGTCATTTTCCTGTTCAAGAAACCCTGCAGAAAAGAAACAAATAGTGTTTGAAGGAGGAGTGTGACTGAAGTCACCTGGGAGAGAACAGATCTGTCAGTACAGACAGACACACATACACATTTTCTCTCTCTCTCTCTCTCTCTCTCTCTCTCTCTCTCTCTCTCTCTCTCTCTGTCTCTCTCTCTCTCTCTCTCTCTCTCTCTCTCTCTCTCAATTTTGGGTTTGTTTGGATTTTTTTTTAGAGGAATTGATAAACAGTTACAAATATATATATTGAAGTGATCCAGTACTTTATCCGTGCGGGTATGTCCTCCTGATGCCCATCTCTCTTTGTTAGTAGATGATATCCTTGAGTTGCTGTGGCTGAAAATCTCCCTCCCCTAGTGATGACCATATCTGGAGCTCTCTCTGCTGGCCTTGGGCTAGTAGGTGTACGGGCCGTTCCCGTGCACAGACTTGAAGCTTGTGCTGCTTCAAGAACTTAGCAGAGCCTCTGCTCTGCTGGAATGTCCTCTCTCTGTCACATGGAGGCTTTTTTCTTTTACTGGCCCAGTGATTTCATTGGCTTAGGAAACTTTATGCCTGGTGCATATGGAGTCATGAAAAATTTGGCAACAGCAAAAGGTTTCTGAATGCGCACTGACCAAAAATTAGTTCAGAATCAAATGTGTAATGAATCCTGAGGTGTTTCTGGCAGCGCTTGGCCCATGTTGCATTGCGCAACTTCACTGCAGTCTTGGTTCTGAACACAAAACATGTGCATTTTGCACTGTGCATGCCATCATGCCCACTCAGCACCAAGGAATGCTGAGGAAACTCGAAAAGGAGTCTTGAGGAAAAAGTTTAAGAAGCCCTGGGCTAGGGCACTGAAAGGTTAAATTACTTGTGCAGAGTCACACAGGTTGTATGTGTCAGAGATGGACCTTGAACTAGTAGTGTTTCTGGACTCCAAGGCTGGTCCTTCTACACCATACCACCCTGCCTGGTGAGGCATTGAAGCCTATTAGAATTAAAATTGGTGCTTTTGTGAAATTGAGGAGATGCTGTTATAATATTGTCCTGATTTTTAAAATTAAGAAATCAGGATTTCTGAATTCAGTTAACTCAGTCCAGTTTGTTAAATCTGATAGTTTAATTGTGTTAAAAGAAATGGTGAAGTGAACTTGAGAAAAACCTAGAAAGACATGTATGGATTGATGCTGAGTAAATTGAGCAGAACCAGAAGAACATTGTACACGGTAACAGACATGTTTTGCGATGACTTTGGAAGGATCTAAGATATCTCCAAAAGTCTCATAATAGAAAATGCTATCCACATCCAAAGAAAGAAATATGGAGTTTGAATTCAGATCAGAGCATGCTATTTGCTCTTTTTTTCCCCTCCTGTTTTGTTTCTTCTTTCTTGTGGTTCTTCTCATGGGTTCTAATTCTTTTTTACAACATGACTAACGTGAAAATATGTTTAATAGGAATGTACATGTAGCGCTCATGTCAGATTTCATGTCGTCATGGGGAGGGAGGGGGAGAAAATTTAAAACTCAAAAGCTTTTGGAAGTGATTGTTGAAAACTAAAAATAAATAAATTAATTTAAATAAATAAATAAATCTGATAGTTTCCTAGTTTCCCATCATCCATTTATTTTTTATAATTAAAATCAAACAGTAGAGTCCTATGTTTCGGACCAGAAATACCTGAAAACTAGTCTCACGGGAGTTTTCTTGGACAGGATTTCAAGTTGCCAGTGGTGTTTAACCATACCAGTTCAGCAGTAGTGGTGCTGTGCCTCTTCCCTGCCTCTCATTAGAAGTTTTAAAAATTAACAGATTCCATATAGTATAAAGCTTCTGAATTGTTAAATTTCCAGTAAGTCCATTGAGTTAAGTCTGATGGTTTCCTAGTTTCCCAACACTTCCTTCCCTTAATTCATTTATTGGTTGAGAACAAAGGATTATATTCCGTGCTGTAGCATAAGTTTTGCTATATGTGCGCTGAGTGTCTCCTGAAAGATTTGGCACTTTCTAAGACAACCCCCTTTATAACAATGATGTAAAGTACAGGACTGAAAGAAGACGTGTCAGAGGGATGTCTTTTTGTGGAATGAATTCCCAAATATTAATTGTTTAAATGTCCGTTTTCTTTTTTTTCCCTTTAGATATTTTATGACCTGGTCAGACAAATAAATAGAAAAACACCAGTGGAAAAGAAGAAACCTAAAAAGAAATCCTGCCTGCTGCTTTAGACCCCAGTGTGCAGCAGCTCTGAGCCAGGTAAGATCACAGGGCTTTCAGGTGGATGGGTGGGCACAGGTGAAGAGCATCAAGTTTGTCTTTGCTCTGCCTGCAAGCACTCATCCTTCTGCCTTAGTGAAGAGTTGCTGGTCTTTTCTGATTTCCATAGCATCAGGTTCTTTCACCTATTTCCCCCAGATCAGTCAGGTTCTTGCACTTCTAGAGGGAAGGCTGAGAATTAAGCAGCATTCAAGTGAGACAGCAGCAGCTCCTCAGAAAAAAGAAAAAAGAAAAAAAACACAAGGCTGAAACAAGCTACCAGGAATCACACAACATCTCCAGATCAGCTTTGATTAAAGTATTCTTTAAGTGGACTAGTTCTCTTTTCTCCAAAATTGACACATTTTCCAATGGTGTTGGACTATTAAGAAAGGAACCCCAGGTTGAGGCCCAGACCCTTTATCCCCAAGTGTCCACATCATTGACCATGTTACCTACCTGGGTGTTGAAAGTCCTTTCCATTCACAGTGCCCCCCATCAAACACATTTTTATACAAATCATCCCTTGTTAAGCCTATTTTGTCTGCCTTTCAGATAAATTTATCTGAGAACATCAGAACAACTTCTGACTGTAAGCATCACCTGTACTGATTTGAGGGAGCCCTCAGGGCTGCCTGCCCAGCTAGAATTTGGGTTTTGTGAATCCACTTGTTTCCCTTAATTTAATAGCTTATGTCATTTCTCTGAATAATTCTACTTGTCACCATCAATACTATAAACAAACCCACTAACTGGAAAGAAATTTTTATAGTAATGCTTTGGCAAGAGTTAACATCTAAGTCTCTCTTTTTTTGGTGAGAAGGAACTAAAATGATCCCTGTGGAGAGTTGTACTGATTCTCTGAGATCACTTGGGTTCATTTAGTGAATTACCTCTTCTACGGCACTAAATTAAATTTAACTAATAACACATGATTCCCTAGAAGCCTGAATCAATCAGTAAACATTTAGTAAGTGCCTACTGTGTGCTAGCCACTGAGCAACCTTCTAAAACAGATTCTCAGCCTGGGATCCATGAGTTTTGGGGGTGGGGTTTGGGGGGAGATTATATTTTTATTTTGGTAAAATTAGTTTTCCTTGTAATTCTGTGTATTTTACTCATTTAAAAACATTCTTCTGGGTGGGGGTCCATAGGCTTCACCAAACTGCCAGAGGGGTGCATGGCAAGGGTTATAAACCCTTGTCTCAAAGTAGACAATTAACTCTGTTAGCAGAAGTAGTTCTATTTTTTAAAGGAGGTAGGTAAGGGGGCAGTGAGGTGGCACAGTACATAGAGCACCAGCCCTGAAAGACCTGAGTTCAAATCCGGCCTCAGACCAAACACTTGACACTTACTAGTTGTGTGACCCTGGGCAAGTCACTTAACCCCAATTGCCTAAAAATTAAAAAAAAAAAAATTAAAGGAGGTAGATAAGAGAGGGAAGCCATCCCACTGAGTTTAAAGAGTGTCATCACAAAGTTAGCCATGGATTAATGAGTATTTTGTCTGCGACAAGTCTCAAAAAATGTCTTCTAAGTTGTTACGGGTTTGGAATATCCACACTAAAAAAAATTAGAAATCCTTATAGGAGGGAGAAAAGGCCAGTTAATATAATCTTCTGGATGGTAACTGCTTCTCCTTAGCCAAGTTTATTGGAAAAGTTATCATTTAGCCAAAAAGACTTAGCTAAATGGCTTTTAGTGGATTCCTGCTTCAGGCTCCAAGCAGCAGCATTCTGAGTTAATGTTATTATTACTTGAATTTTTTGGACAGGCCTGTCCCCTCCGGTGGTAGAAACTTTCTCTGCCATTCAGATTGGCCACTGATAGTCTTTTTTTTTTTTCCCTTTTGGTGAGGCAGTAGAGGTTAATTGACTTGCCCAGGGTCACACAGCTAGTAAGTGTCGAGTGTCTGAGGCTGGATTTTAATTCAGGTCCTCCTGACTCTAGGGCCAGCGCTCTATCCACTGTGTCACCTAGCTGCCCCCACTGATAGTCTTAAAGAGCCTCCTGGGATGAAGCAAAGGGACTTGCCCAGCATCACACAGCCAGTGTGTGACCCAGGAGGAACTGGAGACTAGGTCTTTCTGATTCCTGGTGGCCTTCTGTCTGCTCTACCCTGCAGTCTTCTCTCCTATGAATTAAAAACAAATAAAAGTTATTTCAGTTAATATTGAGTATAAGTGTTATATATGCTGGGCACCGGTAACCCAAAGATTAAAAACAAAAAAAAGTCACTTCTCTCAGAAAGTTTACATTCTACTAAGAGATATAACATGTAATCAGAGAGAGAGAGAGAGACAGACCGACTGACCCCAGGCTGCCTACTTTAGTTTCTTCATCTGTAAAATAGGGGAAAATCATAGCATTTACCTTCTATAGGTGTTATGAGGGCCGCATGAGACGTTTGTGAAACACTTAGCACACTGCCTGGCACATAGTGGGTGCTGTATAAATGTTAGCTATTTTTGTTATATGAAAAAAAAAAAGACGAGTGAGCAGACTTGTAAGTAAGCCTGTGAAGAGCTGGAATATAAGTTTGTTTTGAGTAAACATTTTTTCTTTTTTTGCACCTGTAATATCCTCAGTGTTTAGCATAGTGCCTGGCGTGTTTTTTTTGTTTGGTTTGGTTTTTTAATTTTAGGCAGTTAGGGTTAAGTGACTTGCCCAGGGTCACACAGCTAGTAAGTGTCAGGTGTCTAGTCTGAGGCCAGATTTGAACTCAGGTCCTCCTGACTCCAGGGCTGGTGTTCTATCCACTGCACCACCTAGCTGCCCCTAGTGCCTGTCGTGTTTAACAGATATTTGTTGATTGATTAAATGCCAGGCTGGGAAGTTTGTATTTCGTTCTAAAGTCAGTAAGGAGCCATTGACACTTCTTGAATGGCAGGAGAGAGAGGAAGGGGCTTACGTGTTTAGACAAACCTAGCAACTATGTAGAGGCTGGATTAAGGAGGGACAGACTAGAAGCAGGGGCACTGACTGTTAGCCAGGTATTTAGGCAAGAAATGATAAGGGCCTAAATGATAATGAGCTAGGGTGGTGACTGTGTGAGTGAAGAGATACTGTGGAAGTAGAATCAAGCTATTTTTGATTGACATAATTGAATGAGAATCAATCAGCAGATATTTTCTTCCTTAGGTATCTTGCTATAGTTTAATGATTTTAAATATTAATTATTTAAAAGTGGGCATCTAGGGATCTCATTTTGGAGGTTGAGGATGGGTCCCCAGTTCTTATATATACATACATGTATATATCATACATATATACATACATAAATTATACTCTGTGTGTGTGTGCCACCCTCCACCTTTGGCTATGAATTTAAAGTTGATTAGCCAATTCCATTTAAGTCTGTTTATGCAAATATAATTTCCTCTTGAGTTTGGTGGAAGAGGAGCCATCTGCTGGCCTCTTGTGATCCCATAGATTGTTTTATTTTGTTTGTTTGTTTTTTCTAAAGGGAAGATTTTAGCCTGAGCACAAAGCTTTGGGAGTAGATACCCATTCTTTGGCACACTTTCTTTAGCTCTGAAAACTCTGTCAGTACACTTTAACTTCACAGTGGATGCCGGAAACATGCCTGCTTTGTATGTGCCTTGTCTATACTGATGTATGTGTTATGTTATCTCCTCCATTAGAATGTAAGCTCCTTGAAGGCTGGGATCATTTTTGTTCTTTCTTTATCCCTGTAGCACTCAGAACACTACCCTGCCAGGCACATCAAAATAGATGCTTGTTGGGTTACGATACTAGCCATAAAGCCCTTTATTTGTTGTGTGCTTTGCTGTAACTGATTATTTACATGTACAAAGTGTAGTGCTATCATCCACAGACACAAAGCTTCATGAATGAATAGAGGTTCTCTGTTTACAAAGTGATTTTTTTTGTTTGTCATCTGGTTGTGGGAACCCAGGGGCAGAAAGGACCTCATGAGGACAGCTGAGCCATCCTCCTGCCATGCAGTGTTTGTACCTGTTTGTACCAGGTCCCTGGGGAGGGTTCTCTGCTGTAGCCCATCTGTCTAGCCTGTTGCCTTTGTAGTGGGTCTATGGGGGTAGAAGAACTCAAATTCCTACCAAGAGTATACTATAGCATATTATGCCCAGTGGAACTTTTCAGAATCTTATATTTGTTCATGAAAAGTCTAGCAGTTGGGCAGGATTCCTTGATTGGGAAAGACTTCTCTCTTCTGTTCCATGATAATGGTAAAAATGAAATCTGTATAAAATAACATGTCCCTTTTTTCTTTCCCCAAACGATGCCATCAGATATAAAATAAAGAAAATATGAAGCAATAAACACAAGGACAGCATGGTCCAGGGGATGCAGCTAGCCTCAGATGCAGAAAGCCCCAGCTTCAGGTTCCACATCTCACCTCTGCTGGCTGTGTGACCCTGGTCAGATCCCTTAACTTCTCAGTGTTCTAGGCAATTCCCTAAGGCTTTCAGTTTCAGCGAAGGTACCAATCCATAGAGTGGAGGGAGCAAGCTCTGTGCTCTGAAATTGCAAGCCATTTGTAGGCCTCTTTGAGTCAGTCTGGTCCCGTGTGTTTGATTTACATATAAAGGATTCATAGTGAAGAGAAATTATAATAGCCTTACTGCCTTTTACTGTTTTCTTGCTTCTACCACATCTTATGTGTTCCAAGTACTTCTAGCCCTCTAGTGGTAGTTAGTCCAAATTGAGTTTTCTTTTTTCATTGTTGTGTTCTCTGTATCAAGAAATTAACTTTTCTTTTTGTTCCTATTCAAGATTACAGGAATGAAGAACTGTTGCCTAATTGGAAAGTACCAGCATTCCAGACTTCAAAAAATACATTAATTAATTAACAACATACCTGAAGAGGCTTCTCCTGTTTTATATATTATGTGAAGAATCTAGATCTTATAATGGTTTGCACAAGTTCCCTGGAGAAAAAATTGCTCTGTGTATATCTCTTGGAAAAATAAGACAATAGTATTTCTCCTTTGCAATAGCAGTTATAACAGATGTGAAAATAAATATACTTGACTCTAATATGATTATACAAAAGAGCATGGATGCATTTCAAATGTTAGATATTGCTACTCTAATTAAATGATTTCATATTGACCTTTTTATCATAATTCCTCCCCATCCAGCACTAAAAAGTTGAACCATTATACTTTATATCTATAAAGATATAGATATGGAATATGAAATTTCCCCACAAACTCACTGCAGCAAATAACTTTTTTGAGTCATTGACTTCATTTTATATTTAAAAATTATGGAGTATCATTCTGCCATTATATTCTAATTAAAATTGTTTGTGCATAATGCTTTGGAAAAAATGGGTCTTTTATAGGAAAAAACTGGGATAACTGATTTCTATGGCTTTCAAAGCTAAAATATATAATATACTAAACCAACTCTAATATTGCTTCTTGTGTTTTACTGTCACAGATTAAATTACAGCTTTTATGAATGATTAAATTTTAGTACATTTTCATTTGGTTTGTGTGTTTTTGTTACTGTTCCACAGATGAGGGATCTTTTAAAAATGTGGACTGATATGTTTGAAATGTAGCAATAGCCCCTCCTTGCCCAGTACCTATATAATAGTTTTATACCCTAATATTAATGGTTTCTCAAGGAACAGATTCAGACTCACTCTTCTTCTATATTTAATCCTTATGTACAGTAAAATATATTGGGCTACATTAAATCATTTTGTATATTTTCTTGGATCTTAAAGATTGTATTCTACTGAATAGTCCCTGTGTACATTATTTTTATATGTTAAAAAAAATTTAATACTATATCAGGGTATGACTTTTCCTATGGTCTTTAATTTTATGTGGCTTGTAATTTCATTGGGGGAATCTTTGCATTGTTAATGTGTAGATCATAAGCTCAGGAATGAAGTATTATGGGAAGTTTCTCAGAGTTGCTTTGTAATCAGTTTGAATTTATTCAGGGGAAAGGAAGAGAGAATGGGCCAAGATCAGAAGATAGAGAATGAGTACTGCCAACTGCTCTTATTTTTTAGGGTGAACAAGCAGTCATTTGGAAATCTGCTAATTTTTAAATTTAGTGTAATGTATAGCAAGGTAATTTTTTTTCTTTTTCCCCATCCTAATATTTTTCAGTTTTGAAAAATTCAGGGAGTAGGTGCAACAAGAATTTATGTCAGTATTACCTGTGTGTTCTTTGTGAAGCAACAGCAGGCTTAGAGCGTGTTGGAGTTGGAATTGTACTTGGTGTCTTGGGGGGGAGCAAGGGGTAGGGTTAGGACAGCATGTGCCTCACCCCTCAAGCATTAAGTAGAAGACCAACTAACAAATCTAAAACGTTGCTCAGGGATCTAGTTATAATTTTATTGAAAGCTGTTATGAGGAATTTATGAGGAAAATGGTATTTTCTAAGGGTGTAATCGGCTCACTGATTACCAAATTACTGTAGCATCAGGTTTGAAATTTAAGTTCTTACTAGCCTGAGAAAATGTGACTCAGAGAAAGCATTTGGAAATATTGGTGTTTTCCCAGAAGTTCCTAATAAAACTTTAATTTCCCAGCACCCTTCTTCCACTGGCCCAGTTATGCATTTGTCTTAGGTTGAAGGGCAAAAGAAGGAAAGTGGGAAAAGCAGGGGTGGGTAGTTCTTCCAAGTTAGGGTGGAATGTGTTTTTTATGAGGGACTCTGGAAGTACAGTGTCTGTCTAAAACTAATCTTCTAGTGATTTCATTCTTAATTATACAAATATAAACAACCTTCTTGTAAATGAGTAAAACTTTTAAGAGATGACCTTGTTCTATGCCTTTGTGCAGTTGGTATGAGCTTCCAAATTAGATGGAAGTAACTAAGACTGTTACTTGAGATTACGGTGTGCTTGACTGCCAATGCCACCGCAGGCCTCTTAGGGGAAGCACAGGTTGTCATGGGTGAAAAGAACCTCAAAGGCAGCAGGTTTGCCCCCTAGCTCCACCAGTAATTGGGGCAACTTCCCAGCCACCCAGGGAATGATAATATTTATGCTACTCACCTTTCCAAAGTGTGAGCTGATGGATTTAAAGTACTCAGCAAGCTACACAGTTTGTGCAGATTTTTGTTATTTTGTATTTGTATTAGTAGTTGAATCCCTGGGTCACATCTTCTGTGATCCTTTTAGGTACAAGTTGGAACTTTGTGGGGCCAAGGGCACAAATACTGAGAGCTAAACACAAGCCACTCATGTACTCATCAGAGACATTCAGTGCCATCTTTGGAAGAATCTATAGTTGTGGACAAAATGGGCTAAAAGGATATCTTGTAAAATTCAGGTTTCTCTAGAGTAAAACCAGTTAGTTTTAGCATTGTTGTGAACTTCTAGGCTTGGCCCCAGCAGAATCTGCCTGGATTATGTATGTATGTAGGTAGGCAGGTATGTGAAAAACCATCCTCCACTGACTGACTCTACAAGAATGTGACATGTGTGAAAGTATCCAGAAAAGGGCAAGCCAGATGGTACATCCAAGGTAATGTCATAGGAAAGTAAGTCCACAGAACTTGGAGTGTTTAGCCTGGAGAAGAAAAGATTCAGGAGAAACAGGATAGTTCTGTCAAATGTTTGAAGGTAGTCATGGGTAAGACTGCCCTCAAAGGCTGAGCTGGGAGTAACGGGTGAAAGTTGAAAAGAGGCAGATTTAAACTTGTGAAAAGGGGAAATTTCTAAGCAGAGACAGAAAATGTACTGCCCTGTTTTGTAGGTTCTCCTCAGAAGGATTTGAACAAGTAAAGGCTGAATGACTGCTTAGGGGTAGTGTAGAAGGCATCTTTGTTCAGGCTTGGAGTAAGCTAACTGGCCTCTTAGGACCCTCCACCCTGAACATTCTGAGATTACAGGAACCATGACGATGAGGTGCAAAGGGGGGCCCTGCTCTTTGGCTTTTGATTACATTCGAAAGTGTGCACGATAGTTTCCACTGAAGCAGCAAAGTGTCCTAGATAGATAAAGATGCCCCAGTTGTAGGAACACAGATCAAAACATTAAAATACCAGACTTGGCAAGGAGACCTGCATTCAAATCTTGCCTCTGATACTTGCAAGCTGTGTGACTTAGTCACTTAAGCTCAGCCTTGGTCTTCTTATCTGTAAAGTTTGGAGTTTGGGCCACATGGCCTCTGAGGGCCCTTCCAACTCCCGTGACTTGGACTGGATGACCTGGATGGTCCCTTTCAGTGTTATGATTCTTACTAGGTAAACATTGGAGGCTCCACTAGAGGGGGCTTCAGCATTAGTTAATACATCAATAGGAATTCAAATGAAAGTACTTCAAAGAAACTAAATTTAATAGCAATTTTGATGCCTAGGGATGTTAGGGAATACCAAGAAATAGTCTTCCTCTGTAGAACTTTACAACCTAATTACCCACAAAATATTAGCAATGTAAGTTAAGCACAACTGCAGTGAGGTAGAGCTGTGAACATGTCTCCCATTTATAAAGAAATGAAAGTACATCAACACCAGACTGAGTAAATATCGACCCATCAGAGTTTGTGAAAAAGCACATTTGAAGGAGCTGTCTACAGACCAGAGCTCAAGACCCCTGGGTCCAAGTACCTGCTCTGCCACTACAGACTCAAGTAGAATCACAAAATTTCAGAGTTAGAAGGAGCCTCCGGTCCTTAAGTCTACCCGCTGGAACATGCCCAACCAGTGGTAATCCCAGCTTGTTTGAAGACATCCAAAAAGAGGGAGCTGACTGCTGCTTCCTAAGACAGCCTGTTCTGCTTTGGAATAGCTCTGATTGTTAAGAGGTTTTTCCTGAACAAACCTAGATCTGCCTCTCTGAACTTCCATCCATCATTCCCACTTCTGCCTTCAGAGTCAACCACATGATGGCCCTTCCAGTATTTGAAGACAACTACCATGTCCCTTCTAAATCTTCTCCAAGCTAAAATCTCCCTTTACTCCAATTAATCCGTAGTCCTTAGATTAAGCCTCATGGGCCTGCTCAATTCTAGTTGTTCTCTAGCAATTCTTCAGCTCATCACGACCTTTTTAAACTGTAGTGCCTAGAATAGAACACACAACTTACATGGTAGTCTGACCAGTGCAGGCTACAATATGACTCTCAACTCCTTCCTAGAAGCTCTACCTCTCTGAATGCAGCCTAAGATTTCATTAGATGTTTTGGCTGTCATACTGTTCACTTGTTGAGCTTGGAGTTCGTAAAACCGCCAGATCTTTTTTGAGATAAATTGCTGATTTGTCTCTCTAACCTTGTAACGGTGAAATTGAATTTTGGAACCCAAATGTAAGAAGTTAACATTTGTCCCTATTGAATTTCGTCTTAATAGATTTGTCCAAATGTTTTACTGTATAATAATAATAATAATTTGTTGTTGCTGAGTTTTCAGTTGTGTCCAACTCTTTGTGACCCCATTTGGGGTTTTCTTGGCAGAGACTGGAGTGGTTTACCATTTGTTTCTTTAACTTATTTTACAGATGAGGAAACTGAGGCAAACAGGGTCAAGTGACTTGCCCAGGGTAAGTGTCTGAGGCCAGATTTGAACTCAGCAAGATGAGTTTTTCTGACTTCAGGCACAGCGCTCTATCCACTGTGCCACCTAGCTGTCATAATAACAGTTATCATTTATAGAGTGCTTACTGTGTGCCAGGCACTGAGCTAAGGGCTTTGCAATTTATTTCATCGGCACAACAACCCTGGGAGGTAGGTGCTATTATTATCCTCCTTTTAAAGATGGCAAAACTGAGGCAGACAGAGGTTGATTGACTTGCCCAGGGTCATACAACTCATAAGTGTCTGAAGCCCGATTTGAGTTCAGAACCTTTTTGGATCCTGACTCATCCAAAGGTCTTAGTGATCTTTACCAGGTTTGTGTCACCCACAGACTTGATAAACATCCCATCTATACCTTTATCTAAATCATTGATAAAATTATTCAATAGCTGCAGGCCAACCAAATAGGTCCCTAAAGCACTCCACTAATGATAAGCTTTTGAGCTGATGTTAAATCATTAATGATTATTCTTTGAGTCTGACCTTTTCAGCAGTTACTTAAAAAAAATTTATTGATATTTTTTGTTTTTATGTTGCCTAAATTTCCCCTGTATCTTTATTCCTCTCTCCAAGAAAACCATCTGGTATAACAGAAATTTTTTTAAGAAAAGGGGGAGGAAAAAAGTGAGCAAAACTAGTCAATACCTATTTAAAAGAAGAGGAAGGAGAAATAAAGTTAACCTGGTTGAGTTGCCCCTGATGAAGCCCATATTGGTTTTCTTTGCTACTTCCTCTTCTATTCATTAACTTTTTAATTGCTCTATGTCTTAGAATTTGCAAAGAATCAAAGTCAAGCTCACTGTCCCATAGTTCATGGACTGGTCTCTTTTTTATTTTTTTTTAATTGCAACAACATTTGCCCTTCAGTACTTCAGCACCCTCTGATTTCTCTGTGATCACTGACAGTGGTTCAGCAATCACATTCTCCAGTTCTTTTGGTATCTGAA